CTGGCCAGCACCTCCTCGGCGCCAAGAAGCTCATGTGCTGGGAAGGTCCGCCGTTTCCCGTCGAGGCGCCGTTCCTCATAGATGTTGACCTGCTGGTTCCACGCCGAGAAGGTCTTGGGAGGCCTGTCAGGAATAGCCGGCGTGGCCGTCGTTGGCGGCGCCGCCGCCGGCGCAGGCATGGCCGCCGGGGCTGGGACCGGCGACGACGCAGCGGCCGTCCATTGGCGTGTGGCCTCGACGAACAGGTGGGTCATGATCGCCGTGGCCACATCGTCCTGCCCGTCCTCCACCTTGTGATCGGTGCCGTCGATGCGGGTGCCGGTGATGTACGGGTGGATGATGTGCGTCGTGAACCTCTCGACGTCCTTGGCGATCAGGGCCAACGTGGGCGTCGTGGTGATCTTCCGGGCCGTGATGTAGTTCTTGATGCTGTCGTTGGCGCCGGCCGCGGCGAGGAGGTCGTCCAGCTGCACCATCGAGGCCGCGACCGTCGGGAGTGCCATGGCAACCAACACCTACGGCGTCCTAGGTCGGTTTCCGTGCTCGATAGAAAAGGGGCTACGGGTGAGACATCCGTCGGTAAGTTCCGGGCGCGAGCCCTCGACGGTGATCTGATCTGGGCTGTGTGTGGTTTTCCTGGGTCGTCGTCCAGTTGGTGCCATAGCCGTCGGGGCCGCACACGGCTATTGCCGGCGATCCCTCGGCGGAAAATGGTGACGGCGATCCGTCGGTCAAGCCCGGCGTCGCTCAGTCGGAGTCCGACGTCGCTCCGCTAGTGGAGGACGAGGAGCTCGACGACGAGTCGATCGCCTCCGGTGCCTCAACGTCGACGGTTTCCGTCGGGAAGCACTTGCGGCATAAGGCCGGATCCGGCGGCAGCTCGGACAGGCGAAAGAACTGTCGCACGCCGTAAGGCCAGCCGCACTTGGCCTGCCAATCCGACCTCTCTGTCGACGCTTCGTCGACCCCCGGCTTGTGCACCATCTTGGTGCGGCAGTTCATGACATACCGGGGCGCCGAGTCGCCGATCGCGTCGGCTACTGGCATCCTGGCTGGTTCTGGCACGAACTCCACGCCGGGCACCTCTGCCGCGAAGTCGACGTTGGGCACCATCTGCTGCGAGGCCGGCACCGCCGTATCGGCGTGCCCGGCTGCGTTCCCCGTCGGCAACAAGTCCATGATGGCCGGCGGCGTCGGTGTCGCCAGGGGCTGGGCCGGCGTCGTTGTCGACGTACTCGGCGCTGCCAAGGCCTGGGCTGGAACGCCTGCTGCCACGGCGAGGGGTGCCTGTTGAACATACCGCTCGACGGCGGTGGAGGCCCATCGGCCGAGCAGCTGGATCACGGCGACCGGGACCCCCCTCATCGCCAGGAAGGTCGCACCTGCCACTCTGGCGGCGTGGCCGCCGAAGATCAAGCGGCGCTTGCCCTGTTCGTCGAGGTACACCGTCTCGAAGCCGGCGGCGTCCAGCACCAGCCGAAACATCTCTGCTGACTCCGCCTTGGATCTCTGCACCGTCGGTCTGGTCGGAAACAGGAAGTCGGCCGGCGTCGCAGCCGCGGATGCCTGTATCCGCCGAAGGTGGCGGTGTGCGGCGCATCTTGGGCAGAGTGGGTGGGCCGTCGAAGTGCAAACGCACCGGAATGTGCGTCGTGTGAGATCGGCCTGCCCCCCCTGCGCCGTTTTGTGCAGGGGTATGTCGAGCGACACCGCCGACAAGGTCACGCCGAGGTCTCTGACCCGGGCCGCCGCGAGCTCCACCTCCCTCAGCATAAACCAAGTAGCGACGATAACAACATCGACGGCATGAGCAACCAGGCCGGCGTTGAAGGGCCCGAATGGTGCCGTGTCGTCGACCAACTTGGTGAGCTCGTCGAGGTCGAATGCCTGTTTGAGCCTGGACCCTGGCAGGCCCCTCGCCGCTGCCTTGGTCAGGGTCTTGACCACCCGTCGAAGTCCAGGGGTGACCGGCGTGTGGAGGGTGTTCTCCTGGTGCCATACCACCGCGTCGAGGTACAGCCCAGTCGACCTGTAGCCGGCGATCCGCATGGCCCCGGCGATGGTGTGAAGCTTGTTGGCGTCGAGCGGGAAGAGGGGGAACTGACCTCTGTCGGCCAGGGCGCTCACCGTCCTCACTCGCGACTCCATGGCCCGGCGGGTCGACGATGCCAGCAGATTGGCGTCGATGGCGGCTAGGGTGTCTTGGCGTCGCCCGGGGTCCATGGCCTCCAAAGCCGCCGTCAAAGATGCCCGGGGTAGGGTCCTTCTGTTCGGTACGTCGTGCCTGGGTGGCCTGGCCGCCGTTGGTTCTGGCTGCGTCGGCGGCACCGGCGCAAGGATCTGTAGCAAGAGGCCCTCGGGCACGCCGTTCTCCAAAAGGACGGCGAAGGAGTCCCTCACGGCCGGCGTGTTGATCGCGCCGAACCTGGCCAAGGTAGCGATATAGGCCGAACCGCCTGCCGAGGCGACGTCGCGAAAGAAGTCGGCGACAGTCGCGGAGGGTCCCGACGATGCGGCTTGTTGGTTCATGACCGGCGTCCTGGGTCGGGAATGCAGGGGGTTAGTGCTAGTCGGCGTCTCGAGCCAGAGCAGAAAAGGCTGCGGCGGAAGCAGAAAAGGCAACGGCGACGACCGAGAACGAACGAAGAGAGAGAGAGAAGCCGACAGCGACGGCAGGCGCGACGGACGAGGCAACAGGTGCACGGCTCTCTTTTTGTCGGGTGCGTCGGGCTCCGCCAAAAGGCACCGTGCGGCGTGACCGCCGAGATTAAGCAGCTCTGGCAACGACGAAGTCGTCGAAAAGAAAATAAGTAGTACAGGGCGGCGGTGGGCTCTGATCCTGCCCCCGCCGCCGTCGACTGCCTCAGCGGTGCCGACCCGATGGCCGAAGCCGGGTGACAGGGGCGCCCGCTGGCGTCGTGAAAGATCAGTCCTGTGCGCCGACCATGCCGTGGCATGCGGCGCACTCGTGACCAATATGGTCACGGCCGTTGCCCTCAACGACGGGACGTAGACAGCGGCCTAGGCCCGGCGAGTCTACGTCGTAAAGGTCGTCGAAATGAGGGCATTGCGGCGACGTGCAAGGGTGCGAGCACCAACCAAGCACACGTCGGCCGGCCTCCTGGCTTTGCCAGGGGATCCGGGCGCCGCGTGTGTTGGCGGGTAGCGTCGAGCAGAACCAGTATGCACAGTAGGTGGGCGCCGAGGTCGGCGGGGGCTTCGGCTTGTGCCCGTCGATGCCCTGCCTGTCCAGGTTCTCCTCGGCGATCACGTCGTTCAAGGTCCGCCTGAGCAAGTGCTTGACCGACTTCGGCGGGTCGTCGACGGCTCGAGCGCCTCGGCGATGCATGGCCCGCTTGTGCTGCCGATAGTCGTCGGTCATGTTGATCTCGATTTGGCGGATCCTCTCGTCGCTCAGGTGCTCGCGGAACCCCGCCGCCGTCTTGGACCTGGATCGTGCCCCCGTCGGTGTCGTCGTCCTGGTTGTGGTCGAGGGCCCGGCGTCCGTCGAGGAGCCGGCGGGCTGGTCTGCTGGCCTTGCGCCCGGCGGGAACATCCAATCCGGGCGCTCTGCCGCCACCGCCGGGGGGGTCGGCGCTCTCGTGGTGGATGCCCTCAGACTCGGCGGTGTGGACTGCCATGGCGTAGAAGCCGCCGAGAGCGGCGGGAAGCTGGACCTGGACGGGGGTGCGTCGACCACTGGAGGAGGCGGCGGCGGGTCCATGGTCGGCCGCCCACCTCGTTGCGTCGACCTCCCTCTGGCTGCCGATGTCTGGCTCCCGGCCGTCGAGTGGGCGTCGTCGTCCTGTCGGGGGCCCACCTGCCGAAGCAGTGACGCGGCGATGTTGATGACTTCTTCGGCGCCCCCCCCGCCGATAGTCGAAGCCGGCGTCTGGATGCCAGTGGCGTCGACCGGACGTCGTGCCCCCTCTGGCGGGGCCCTCACCCGATGACCAGCCGCGTCGATGTAGTATGCCGGCGTGGCCGTGCCAGAGGGCATCGCCGACTGGGCTTCCATTGCGGCGAGACCCGGGAACCCCGTTATGGTCGGCGACGCCGTGGTCTCGGGCTCCCTCGCTTCCGTCGGGTCCAAGAAGGCCGCCGCAGTCCTGGTAGCCGACGTCGTAGGGGCGTCGAGGAAGACCGTGCCCGACACCTGGTCGTCGTCCCTTGCCGCTGTGGGCTGCGGCGGCTGCCAGTTCACCTGGTGTGCCCACGCCGTGGGCGGCGCCCCGACGTTCTGCTGCAGGATAGTCGCCGCCGATGAGCTCCCGGGACCCGTCGGTGGAGGCGGCGTGGTTGATGCCATCGTCGATGTCCTGCATGGGACCCGTCGAGCTGGGCGTCATAGATCCATGTCCCGGCGTGGCAGAGGTGGTCGGCGGCGGCCTTGGAGCTGCCTTCACCATCACCGGCGTCCCCTCCGTCGTGGCCCGCTGCGGGAACAGCCTCCCCATGTAGACCCGGCGTTCCTCGTCGGTGGGCGGGGAAGTCGGTGGAACCACGGCCGTCACGGCGAGGAGCTCGGCGAGGGAGGTCCGGTCCTCCATGTCCAGGCTCGCCGCCAGTTCCGCCCAGGCGCCGAAGCCACCGTCGCGTCCCTTCCGGAGGACGTTGCGAAGTTCTCGCACTGCGACGTGAACTCCGGCTTCTGGCGCGACCGTCGTCTGAGGCCGCTGCGGCGGTGCCTTTCTCGGCATCTGCTGCGCCGACGACGAAGCTGCCGCGGGAGTAGTCGACATGGCGTCGAGAGTGATCAGAAATCTAAAATCTTCGAACTCGTCGAGCCAGAGTGCTAGCGACGGCCGTCGTTAACGGTTGTTACTGCACACACACGTGTGTTTCACAACAAACTAAACCAACAAGCTTTTCAGGAACGTGTATATGAAGCCCTTACCCACATCTAAAACGCGAGCATAAAGTCGCTCCCGCATTGGTTTGGAAACAGATGCATGAAGAGCTGTCGCTGAAAATGCAATGATGGCACATGCCACCAGCTCCTCCGGTAGCCAGCGAAGCGATCCCCTGACTTGGATCCTCTCAGTCATGTTTGCGGCAACACCGCTGTAGGCCTCAAGCAAGAGTAAGTCGGACAAGGCGAGCTCTGACATGTACGCATAGTCGAGTCTAGCTTCAGTCGAGAGTCGCAAGTGAAGCTTCTCTGTGAAACATTGTCCGTCGAGCAGTCTGCCTCGGAACACCTTCAGCGAGGATCACCAAGAGCTGGAATGCAGGCTATATCGACAAAGCCAACTGAACGAAAAGATGGAAGTAGGAGGCGCAACAACGACAGTGCAGCAGCGGGGGCAGTGCAAATGAAACGATGATAACCGTCATTATGGCTCCTCGATCCATATGACTGATGACAAAGCTTCGGTGCGACAGTGGCTGTAAGTTCGGCTAGGATAGAAAACTATTCTGACTACTAACCATCGTGTAAGGTTCCCACCCTGGCATGCACCGGCAGTCGTCTTTGCAGGAACAATGATCCTGACAGGAAATAGGCACAACAATCTGATAAGGAAACACTGCACTCACGCTTCACATTACTGCCGCCGGTCCGTGGCAACCATGGAGTCATTCGTGAGCCAGCAACTTTCTGGGTCCTGACCACCGCGTAGCATGGAGCCCGTCGAACACCAACAACGCAATGCTGTATAAAGCGGCGACATCTTTTCAGCTAGGATTGGGACATCCGGCCACCACACCGGTGCCCTGTACTTCCATGCATTTACCACCTGCAGATTATTACGAATCGGTGAAATCGAAGAAGGCACTTGCCGAATGAAAGCGGAGTGCCTCGCGGATCTCGAAGTTCGTCACTTGCGTGCCCTTTGGAACCAAAGCGCATGACGAAAACGAGATGGACACAGTGCTTATGGCTTGTGGCTTGTGCTCAGGTGAAAACTGTTATGTCACGAATGAGAAGAATGAGAGACTTGTTGCGGTCCGTTGCTGAAGCCAAAGCCTGCAAGGATCTGCAATGTATGTGGCCATGGTGACATCGGCTGCGGTGGCCTCTGTGATACCCTGATCCGTCACCAATGCATGCCCGTCATGAATTCCGTCACAAAGCATGTCAGGCGTGACCTGGTCATGTACCCAGCAGCATTAGCTCGCAAATGCCTACAGTCTATGCGTGCGAAGTGCACCTCAGATCCAAAAAGCCCCTGCCAGGCGTCATCAACCTGAAACCCCCATCGCGGAGGATTGACTCATGCTCAGGCAAGATGGAAGTATACGGTGAATTGCAGAGATTGAATGCTAAACAAATCCCGCCTTCACCCATTTCATCGTCGACGTGTTCTCCATATATGCCTGGCACAAATATGGTTTCCCCGAATCATACCGAGTCATTCTTTGCCTCCGAGCACCCATTGCCCCTGTCTTCGTCGACAAACCTGGAAAGATTAGGGCTGGCACGGCTTTTCTCAGCGTGGGTGTCAAGCCAGCGACTAAATTTGGTGAGGCGGTTTGGGTTCACATCAAGGGGATGCGACAATGACCCGGATCTCGAATCCACATTTGTCCAGCATCAAGCCAGCCGACTCTGGATGCAAAGGCACTCAATTAGCCTATGCGATGCAACTTTCTGACAAATTTCTTCTGAGTGGCTCTGATGTGTTCAAGGTAAAGGCCAGCGAGGATGTCGACTGGATAGCTCCCAGACCAAGCAGGTCAACCCTGGCCAAGCGAGGGTGGTTCTCCCAAGGACCCAAAATTCTGCAAACACAAAACTAAGACTGGCAAGAAGAGCATGGGCCATTCCCAGCCTGGCAAGAAATGACGGAAGAAAGCTGGGCTTGACATGATTCGTACAAGTATTACACTCTGAGATCTCGGCTGTACATGTCCAGCTGATTCGAGACTACTGTCGCCCCCTGCAAAGAGAAGTCGCTTCGCAACGGAGAGACTTTCTTGCAGCTTGCCACTCCAATACACCCGCAAGCTGGCTAACACTACTCTAACAGAAGCAGCAGATACAGAAGACATAATCTATCATGATCTCCATGTCTCACGCGTGCACACACACACACACACACCGCACGCGCAAGACTGATCCAAACGGGAAAGCACAAGTCATACAGAGCTGACCTCAGCCATGCCCCCACCAAGCGCCAAAGATCATCCCATAAAGATTCTGTGGGTGAACATACGCTGATAGTCTCTGACACCACGAAACCGCCATTTACGCTGAAAATTACTTGCTTGGCTTTAAGCTACAAGCTATTGCAGCTTTCCGGTTTCATTGAAGGTGAGGAGGAGGGCCGGCTCGGCCAGACTGCTCCAAGGACAAAGGACATGAAAGGACACAGCACCAGTGCAAACGTCATTGACCAGGAACTGGGAACCGTTGGGAACCGGACATACCATGGATGGGAGGCGATCGTCACCGCATCGTCAAAGGCAGCTTTCGGATGGAGGCTGGCGTCTGGATTCATACCTGTCCGTGAAACTGTCAGAACTGAGGAACCCTCACAGCAATGTGATCCTGGCGCATCATGCGCGTCTTTGCCGCGCCTTGAGGTACATCTTGAACTATACCTCAGGCTCCGAAGCAAAGCCTTATCACAAGGCAGCGCTTCCTTGGACCCGGACTGGTGCGAACGCCGGCCGTTAGCTCAAGGGGTGTTTCCAGAAGGAGGCGCTGGATCTGAAGCAGAAAAGTGGCGAACAAACGCCGAAGTGGAGCTGCTCAGCTGCTCAGCTGCGCTTCTCTGCTTCTCTGCTTCTCTGCTCTGTGTGAGTCAGACAAGTGGGGGCAGGGAAAGATACTAGAAACATGAATAGATGTTCACTTCCATATGCGTACATATGCCGCAAGGCTTGCATACATAAGCATGCATACATACACACACACGAAGACATGCAGACACAGATACGCGTGCATGTTTAAACATCTGCCTAAACGAATCAGTAAGACATAGTTGAGCAGACAAATAAGCATGGATACCTAGATATGTGCGAATTCATTAATTCAACTTGCTCGTGCATACATTCGTGGAGTCGCACGTCCCCACCTATTGACCTCTTTACACTGCTTGATCATACAGCAAGCCCGCAAACTATCTCGACATGTATGCCAGCCAAACACACTGCGTGCTCCTCGCCAGCTATTGCGTCTGTGTCCTCTATCCGGCTCCATCCCCTGCCTCCACCCCTCAATCCCCTGACTGTGGCCTTCTTGGTCTGTGTCGCGGAGGATTGTTGAAATTGAATCCCAATCTGGCCATGCATGAGAAATCTGTGCATCAAAGCAACAGTCAAGAAAATCTTGCAGGGAGATCTGCATCCAACTGGCCCTGGAACGGTCCGCTGATCGGGAAGTGATACTTGTCCTGTGCGGCACAGGGGTTTGGACTATACTGACTACACCACCGAACGCCAAAATCAATTTGCGGTGCGCCTTGCTCAGTTCCACAATGACGTCCGTCGAGCTCTGCACGAGGATCATGGCAGTGCAGCATTGATTACAATATTAAAGATGGCTTCCAAATATGGAAAGGTGATGCCAATTCTGCCTCCGACAAAGCCGAGATCACACTGCCAATTGAGAAGTGTTGCTTCTGAAACCTGAACACTTTCAGAACAAACGAATCAGATTGCTGCGCATCGACAACCTGTGGCTTACGAGGTAACTGAGGAGGACACCCACTTGGAGCCAGGGCTCTGACCATCAAGACCTGAGATTGCTTTATTCGCATCTGTTTCTTAGCTGTGCATTCCGATGCTGCGCATTACACATATCATTGAGAAATTGTGCCTGTCTGTTGCTCCGATCGGGTGCTCCTGCACACTTCTCGTCAGCAACACATGCAAGACCGCCAGCCGGTTGATGTCAATCCAGATGGACAACCAGGACAGGACTGCTCCTGCTCGGACTACCTGCCAGAAACTGCGGCACTCACGGGCACGTCTCCACACCGTAGCCCGCCAAGCAGAAGCCAAGCACCTCTATGATCTCTTTGTTCCCACATGCGGTGCCACCACAATCCTTCCGACATGGAGTGAGTGCGTGCAGGACATCCTTCATGCCTGCAGGTTCAATGCCTGGTTGATGTCCAACTTGTATGCGGCAACATCGTTGCCAAAGGGAAACGGACTCCTTGACACTTTGGTGCATGGGGGTCTAGGTAAATCTTGACAATGCGATGTCAGAAGTCCTGCTTCCTAGCTTCACAACCACGAGGCGGTATGCGTTGCTTGCATTCGTCGCACCACCCTGCTCAGCCAACTTACACTATCAGTATCAACTTGCAAGGTGGTGAGCGACGGTGCAGCACATTCAAAAGGCGCACCTCTAAAGTGTAAAAGCCCCGTCTGGTAGGGTCAAACAACTCACCAGCTCCTGACGCAACAAGGCTCAATTTGCAGTTGAAGCAGCGTCGGCTTGCACTCACCTTCGAGGTACTCGTCGAACTGCTTCACCAACCGAGCATCAATGAAGCCTTCAGCCTCTGCAAGCATCTGTTTGCTGTCCATGATACACGTCACTGGCTGACACCAATACTTTGCCTTGTATCGGCACATGAACTCCTTGCGGACGAAATTCTGACCCCTAATTTTCGATTTCTGGCTAGATTTCACCGCGTCCTGGAGGCACTGACCGTTGTCATCGCAGTTCTCGCTCAAAGATGCTGCACCGCCATACCTGTCGCTTCCCACTGGGTTGCCTCCGGCTTTAAATAAGCGCTAGCAGCAGAAAGATCCGGCGCACAAATCGCCGGGCTCGTGCGGACAAGTAGGACAACCACCGCCACTCGCCTGACTTGACAAGCTGGCATCACATGGCGGTCGTCTGAATTTTGCTTGCACGGCGAATTCACCAAAGCAGCTCCGAAGAACGACAGCTTCGGTGCGTGTCGGTCTGTTGCTGAGCGAGTGCTCACAAAGATGTGCTAAACCTTCAATCAATCGGTAGGTCGGGTCATACCCCAGGCGGCACTGGGGAAAGCAGCGATCGGCACACCGAACGACGGCAGACAACGCGGTCATAGACAAGTCCTTCTTCACAGTCATCGTCCAAAGCTTCAAAAGCCGTAGTTTAATTTCACCGATCCACTCAAGTCTCGGCTTTCCAACCCTTCTGAAAACAACTGCGGTTGGAGGTTGCATTGCTCAAGGGATGAGGGCAGTTTGGGGATGTTTGGGGTATCAAGCGGTCGCATGGGTATCACAGGGTTGGTGCTGCAACAGCATATGTGGGGCTGCCCGGGAAATGAATGCAAGTGGGATACGATCAATACAGGCAGCGGCTTGAAAGGCGTTCAGTCATGGGTATTCGTCTGCAGAAGAACACAGACAACTTAAACTCTACAGCAATTTGAACTCGATGAGAAATCTGAAGAAATCTAGCTTGCGGTCACGAGATACGAAGCATGTTTCCAACTTTGAAACCAGCTCTTGCCATACCGATTCGACGACCAAGCTCACGTAGACCGTCGTATGAACCGATCCAAGGTTGGGCTCGATGCGCTCACCCGCTGGTATCCAAATAGAAGAATGGCAGTTTACCTGAAGGAGGTGAAACCCAGTAGAGTTCCGTCCCGGACAGTTTGCCATCGTCGTTAAAGGAGTTCCTGCAAATGCCGGTCAGAGGAAAAGTGTCGCCTGCATATACAATGTCAGCCAAATCCGTCCTATGGTATGCATTCAAAGACGAGACATCCAATTTAGCAATATCATCGTACATGACGCCATGAACATTATGAACACTAATTAGTGGGCTCAGCGTAAAACCTCGTGAAATGCCAGAGTTCTGGGCTACCAAGCATCTGCAAACATGAATCTGGAATGCCAAATCAGCGAAGTGCATCAAGAAGGCTGTCCGTGTTGATACTGCCAAATGCTTTCTTCCAGTCGAGTGTCAATAAATGGATCTGACCACTGCGTCGTGCACAAACCTTTTCGATTTTTCGCGGTGCCACGAGAATGGCCTTGGAGGCCCGGATTGTAAATCCGCCGCCACCTTTGAGAAGAAAACTGCTTTTGCACTGCAATGCACTTGGTTGTCGTTGCGTCGTCTCCGTTTGTCTTTCTCTGTCTTGATGGTTTGGAGTCGCGAACTTTAGGTTGGGAGCCTTAGGGCCTCAGAGTTTCGAGCTCTAAGGTTTATTGGCTTGGAGTTAGATTTTCTCCTAAGTCAGAGTTCCGCTGAACGGTCTGCAAATCTCGCTTGAAACAATCTTTGTTGCCGCGAATGCCCGGAACCGTGACCCACGTTCTGTGAAGTGCTGCTGGGCACTTCGCAACTTGTGGCTCAGCCTGATGGTGTTGCGACTTTCGCTCAGGAAGCCGCTACAATTCTTCTTCCCGGGTCGCAAGCTTCCTGCATCGGAACCCGCCGTCATTGACTTAGGTTCAAAAACCTCGGCCTCTCATTGCTTGTTTAGGTCCTCAGGGTTTCCAGACAGTCTCGATAGGTTTTTGGAGGGTGGGCCTCCAGAGAAGTCAGAAAGGGCTGCTAGGCTTTGGCTTTTGGATTTGTCAGGGTGCTCGTTCGGTGCAGCGTTTACACTTGGTGTTTGGGTTCTGGGTCTGGGGTTAACGGCTGCAGGCTGTAGGGTATTCCGGGTGTCTCTTTACAGCATCTTCAGAGATCAAGTTTATGGCCAGAATCCTGCGGCCCTTGGGACAAGGCGGGAGATTTGTCAGCATAAACCGTCCTCACTAAGACTTCCCTTCAAGCCCACTAAGGATAAAAATCTACTGGGTCTCTATGATGACTTCGTCATTTGCTTGTCATGCCTTGTCTCTTGTCGTAATAGTCGCAAAGCTCTGAAAGCCAAAACCTGAGGAGTAGTCGAATACAGGATCGTGAGGCCGGGCCCATGACGTTCCGATACTCCTCCTCTGTGCCCATGAAGCCCGCCTTAGAAGTTTTGCGTGAGGGCTAGGGTTGGGGTAGTCTTAAACCCTCTGTGTAGCATGCCAGGTCGGTACTGCCAGGGAGGAACAACTGGGTGCACCTGAATCGCAAGCAAACACTTCTGTTTTTCAACCTGCAGATTGACCAAAAAGTCTCAGCAAATGGATCTCAGCGACGCGCGGTTCAGATACATACACCCGTGTAGCATCTGAAAGACCTGCAGAGGCCTGTGCAAAGCGGTAAGATGCCGTAAGCTCATCAAACGCATGTAACGATACAACTATGCCTCCGGTGTCGTGCACCGTCCCATCCTTGAGCACACCTGCAGCTTTGGTGCAGCGGTTCCGCCGGTGATGCCATCTCACAACGACTTTATGCAATCTGCGAGAGGCCTCGCCATGCCCACAGTTCTTCACCGCCAAATTTGGATACAAGCCTGAGTGGCCGTTCAAAGCTGCAGACCGAGGACCGCTCGGACAGCAGCAATGTGACGCAACAGGCATGCAGGCGCTTCGGTTCTCAACGGACAACGAACAGCTGCGCCAAGTGGCAGTCTGGGTCCGGCATCCCGCATCGACAATCGCATTGCCTCCGCTGCAAGGACCCGATGCTGAATGATCCCCAAGCTAACCTATCTGTCTGTCCGGCCTGCCATCGTTGTAGAGCCTCATTCGAAGACTTCGTCAGTGCATGAGTTGCACACATCACGCGTCTGGCCTCGCGTGACAGATCCACTTGGTGGATGGGGTGGCAGGCGGATCGCCTGGATCCTTGCAGGGACTCAGCCCGGTAGGTGCCAGTAAATTCCGTTCAGGACTGCCTCCAGGTCGAACTTTAGACGGAATCCGCTGTCAAGGCCCCGGAAAGTGTGCAGCACGAAGGGATCGGTGGAATTCGAGCTGGGAACCTGGAGATACAAAAGACTCGAGCGTGAGTGCTCGAGGTTGACGGCCTTTGATGCACCTGGATCTCGCTGATCAGAATCCTCTCGATACCAGCAAGGCCCGAAAGCATCAAGTAGAAGGGTGGGGCTGTCCCGAACCTTGTGTTTTAAAGCGCACAGGCTGACAGGTGTCGAAAGCACTCTGCCACTGAGCCGGGAACCCGCTTCCCCAGTCCTTTTGCTGAATGTACAACTCGTCCTGTGACCTCAAGCGCCACATCTGGGGCAACAGTACGTCATTGCGAACCTGCACGAACAGCCCTAACACAATCTCCTACCGCCCAAGGCTAACACGCATTCGGAGCCGCTGCCGTCCTGAAAACCAAACAGGGGCGCTTCTGTACCCACATAATCCGCGCAGGATGCCAAAATGTGTGACACCCCGCTACCAAGCTTGGACCTCAGACTGGTGGCAAAGGCATTCTGGCTCGAAGTCGTCTTCACCCTGGCAGTCCAGCATCCCTACAGCTAGCGATGAAGGTGCGCAACATGTCACAAGTCATGAAGCAGGCATCGATGTTGCCCTCATCACCAGCTCAGCAGAAGTCAACAGGACGGCCAGGCGTCATAGTTGCATCTGCACACGTTATCTCGGAGTAGCTGTTGTTGAAGTTGGTCACCTTGGAGTAAAGTCAGGCCCGCCAAGCTTCAGCTTTGTCACTACTTTGCATAAACCTGGACCCAGGCATAATTGAAGAAGATGCCCCAGCTTTGTATCACTGCCATCAAGTTGGACCTTCGGAGCAAATCACAGCCTTCTGCCCGAAATATTCTGATCAAGCTGGTGCGCGCCTAATTAGAACTTCAGAGCCGTTTCGACACTGACACCAGAACTTTCCGTCTGGGTATTCGGACTCGGCCTCATCGGATGCAGATTTATGCCGGGTACAGCCTGACTCAGACCAGCCTGCGTAGAGTTGCAGGTGAAATCCTCCATCACATTGAGTCGCCGCTGAGTCCCGAAAACATCTGTCTCCGAACAATCCTGCCCGATCAATTCATCCGTCGCAGTGATATCCTCTAGGTCCGAGGCATGCTTCCTGCCTCCCCGAAGAAACCTTCCCTGCAGCTGCACTGGTACTTGAATCCGGGTAGGTCTGTGCAGTTCCTGAGGCGAGTTTGGGGTTCAGAGCATCTTGTCGGCACGGGTTCTCAGGCGGCCACCCACCATTTTGGCAAGGAAAGTGGCTGCACGCTGAACACGATGCTTGGAAATCCTGCCGAAATCACAACAGCACCTGGTCTTCTCAACAGAGGAAAACTGTGGACTGCCCCCGGCGGCTTGGCACTCACAACTTTTGATGATGCTTTTCCTCAGCCAGCATACTTTAGCCGAGGCAGCCCATCATCAGGCAGCTGATACCAAGGCTGCATCCATGCACAACAAATGTGAATCACGCGGTACCACACCGGATCAGCAGCGTCACCTACCGTGCGACCTCCACCCACGTCGAGTTTTCTCAGCTTGGCATCATCAATCGTGCCCGCCGCAGGCCAGATGCAGTCCGGTTGGGAGTCATACACGATTGTCATCACAGTACCACAAGCCGTGCAAACGTGCCGTTGGCCGTGGCCAGTTGTTCGCATCAGCTGCAGGGCATCAGAGCGTGTCCAACGAAAGGTATCCATGGGTGCAGGAAGCCAGGTCTGGGCGGCAGAACCAGACATCTGCCGGCAAAGCTTGCAGTAGCAGTGCTGTGCTTCGCCAGGAAGTAATTCTCCTTCGAAAGAGCATCTTCCACATGAGCACCCACCCTGCAACTTCAGGCTGCGACGGGGCAAGGCACATGGTCCAGGTCTTGCTCGCCACCATAATGGCTCGGAATCACGACTCCACTCTTCGAACCTAGTCTGCCACCTTGATGCCAGCCAAGACGGAATCGAATTATCTGCCAGGGAACCCAAAGAAAGCAATATTTCGCCTGGCCAATTCGGAAATGCCAACGTTGCCAAAACATGAAACATTGCTGTGGGAATGCTGGCGCCTGGTCTTCCAAGAGGCAGAACAGCAAGCTTGGTGAAGCACTTGGAACACAGGAGCCTTCGCAAAATGGGCAAGACACCGCTGAAGGCCAAAGGCACGAAAGCCCACCTCTCCACCGAATCGAGGGTTTTGCAAGTCCCGAGCAGCTTCTGAACGTAGCCACCTGGTGGCACGAACAAAGCAGCTGCTCTCTCCATTCACACATGATCTCAGATCTCTTTTCGTCTCCGCCCGACCCGCCTGTCAGTTCAAGAGTCTCTGCAGAAACTGCGAGGTAGGCTGCGAAAGCACTGGCTTGAAAGTGGCGGCAAGCGGGACAATAGCATCGCACTACACTCAAGTGCTGAGTTCTCACGTCCCAGTCCACAGAACATCTCCCGCAGTGGCAGCGCATTCTGAGCTGAACTGTTTTGGGTTCTGCTGTCTGTGCTGCGGCTGCTTCGGCAGGAAAGCGATTCAGTCGATCCAGTGGGGAACGGAAGGATGTAGGATACTCGCCTGGATTGTACAACACTGCAGGTTGTGTGCTAAAGGTTGCACCGAAAGCCAAACAAAAGCCATATCTCAAGACCTGTCGCGGTCGTGAATGTCGGCACGCAATCGCCGCTGCAGGAATTCCCATAGCACCTCCTCTGGAACACCAGGGTTCGCCGTCTTCAACTGGGCAAGGAGCTCATCCATGGCATCGCCGGATTCAGGCTTCCAACATCTCGTGAGAGCTTCTACTGTTCATAGATCGAAGGCGAAGAGTCGAAGGGCTGCAACCCTTGTAAGACCATGACTCTGACGAAAGTACGGCCGTGCAGCGTGCAGCCGAACGTCTTCGGCAACATTTAATTTCCAATGCCCAGCAGCTGTATGCAGTCTTCACTCAAACGAACCTCAACCTTGCGAAACTATCGAGGCTGATTCTGACCGCACACAAACACCCAGAAACTGGCATGTAGCTGCGGCCAACAGCTTGGAAGTCCAAAACATTGCTCACATCCTAAGGTAAATTTCGTTGGCATGCGCGGACTTTGCACGGCTAGCGGGGAAATATCATGCATTTGCTTTCCGATCACTGCACTTGCCTGACATGACATGCCGAAGCAAGAAAGATCTCTCCTCGTAGGCATCGCACTCGCCAGCAAGCTTCGTCCTTCAAGCTCAACGCTCATCACGATTGGCGGATTCTGCAGACGAACGGAGCAGAACGTGCCTCAGCCTCAAGTTGATGTCGGCTGAAGATGGCGCCTGGCACATTGACTTCTCGGAACGAGCAAAGGAAGTAAAACACGGTGGTCGCGCAGAACTGCACATCTGCACGCTTACCGTAATGTAAGTCATCACGCAATTCGGCTTGGACGTCCTTGGACTTGATTCTCAAATTTCGCTTGGGCCTGGGGCAGTGTCCAACCTGTGGCAAAGACGAACTGCAGCAACTCGTCTAATCGCATGGTTGCCTGCGCAGTGTTCGCACATTCTGAGACGGTGTGGCAGGAGCAGAACCTGCCACTGTATCGTGCTTGAAATGAGCACATCCAGCCTGCAATGTGACAAGATTTGCCGTGACGCTTGCATCCGTGCCGGGAGAAAACCTGCGAGCCGCATCGCTGTATATGGATCTCGAAAAAATCAATTGCAGCTAGCATTCGCCCCACCGATGTGTGATGGGATTCCAGTTGTCTGGCCGCCAACAGAACGGATTCGACCTCGGCATGCAGCGAAATGTGACCGTCGCAGTTCATGAGGACGAATCTCAGGGAACAGCTTCAGAAAGGGAAACGCTGCAAACAATCGCCGATCCTCCTTGATGTCGTCCTTCCATGCTACATGTACTGTTGAGGTGCTGAGTCAAGCGAACACACCGCAGCCAACATTGTCATCGACTCATCGAGACGTAGTCCGGAAGGTCGTTTCGTTCGATGTGTTTTGAGATGTATGGGGCTTCTGGTACGTTTGGCACTTGGAGAACTGTTGTTGTTCGCAGTTGCGTTCTGATTGGGCGAAATGGCTTCCGTGCTGCTGTGAAGTCCCTTCCTTTCCCGCCAAGTTTCCGGATGCTTCAGTTCATGCATCGCTACGTCTATGTAAAGCTGAACATTCGCGACGGACCCGGTGCAAATACAGGGCTGTCAACGTGCACGATTCTATCATATCCGCCGAGGCCAGAGGCCCAGGCGTTTTGGTGGTTACCTCAGGTACCCTCCACCTAATCCATTGGTGACACCCTGTTTTTGCGTTCGTTTGCCACCCCCTTGCCCCCCCCCCTCCCAGGCCTCCCTTCCACCTGATTTGTCGGCCTCCCCCCCCCCCTCCCCCCCCTCCCACCCCCCCCCTCCCCCCCCCCCCCCTCCCCCCCTCCCTCCCCCCCCTCCCTCCCCCTGTGCCCGTTTTCCTGGCACTTCGTATCAACAACCGTGTAAAGCTTGGGGTTTGACAGGCCGCCCTAGCATAAAAAAACATCGACTGCCCCCTCGCCCTGCCGCTACACAGCCGAGGCGGGCGGCGTAGCGTTAAAATTATGTCACTTCAACCTTAAGGGCAGCAGTAGGCCCGCTTGCAACGAAAGCTTTATCTAAATGCAGACCGCATCCCGGGAATCCCCGTTCAACAGCAGCTTTGGCTTGTCCTTGACCAGATTGAACATAGCTTCGTTCACCAGGCCCACCTGCTCCAAGAATTCTGCAGCCGAGCATGACATCTTTAGTTCTTCAATCTTGCCTGGAGTTGGCAGCTTTTTAGCTGTCGCAGCTGGTCCCTGCAGCACGACTGGCCACCGGCATGCGTAATGTGCCACAGCTGCACGGTACAGACAGGCACCCGTGACTCAACCAGCTCACAGCCTATCAAATCGCATATACAGCGCCACCTCGCAGATGAAGTGGTGCTGTGACTGCTCCGAAGAGAGGGAGGGAGCAAGGGCACCTTGTGCTCAAAGAAATCTGCCAAGCTCTGAAAGACGTTGCGTTTGAGATACCTGGCACCCAGGAATTTCGTGCGAGACTGATCGCGGAAAGCTCAAGGGTCTCGCCAGTACATCATGGTGTCGTCAAAGAGATGGCTGGCAGTCGCACCCTGAAACAACCAAGATAAATGGGATGGACCCTCAGATGTGTAACCTAGTGACTGAGTGTTTTCCTGCAGTTTGTCCCATCGTTAATGCACACGCATTCTTACCTGACATTTCTATACTATGATTGCAGCTGGATCGGTCAGGCCAGTCGCTTGCTTTCTCGAGGTATGCCTGTAGCCTGGTTCCTCGTTCAGGCGCCTTGATTTTTTGGGCGTTTCGATTAGGGGCAGAGATCCCGGTGCTGGAGCTACGGCTGTTGAGAGTTGAGTTGAGAGCGATGGGGTCTTCCACTGGTCGGTGAAACCCTTTTGGGAGGAGGTCTCTCAAGACCGAATCGGAATCCCAACTGCCGGAAGTAACTCGTTAAAGGATGTTAAAGGAAAATCTCAATGGTTACGTCCATCAGTGCCGCTACAACGAGTCACCAGACGGTATCTCCGCAACTTGGACCAACTCGTAAAGTAAAGGCATCTGTGAAGACCTGAGCCGATGCGGACGACTCACGCCTGCATGTCATTGAAAGTCTTGACCGTCTTTGTGAGGACGTTGGATGTCAGCACAGCACTGCTCTCGTGAAAACTGCAGGGGCGGAAGAGGTGCCACTAGCTTCTCCACCAGCAAGGACTACCTGCAAAATCCTGCAAGGACCTAATTACCTAATTCATTCTGCACCGATTCCTGCCCAGTGGAGCTTGTACGCTGTCCACCGCCGACAGCGTAGGTGGCGTCGCCTGCATGGCATGTAAACCGCACTCCAGAGCCCAGAGATCCCAGACAGGCAGGATTGTGCAATGCCTCATTGCTGGAGACCAAAGCCTCTGACAAGCCAAGAAGATCTGTGACAATCACCTGACCAGTCTGTAAGATCCTGTCAATCCACCACATCTACCACAACGCCCTGACTTCAAGCAGCACCTTGTCCAAGCTGGTCTCTCGTGTCTTCTCGAAGAACTGCACAACACTCGTGAGGCGCACCTTTGCGGATCGTTTTATGGCATCGCTGCCAGATTCTAGAAAGTTGGCAAACCTGATTTCTTTTCAACCCAAATGAGCCTCCATGACAGGAACATCCAAAGAAGGTGTAGCTGCCTGAACAAAAAGCCATAGAACTGAGTCGCCATGACTGACTCTGACATGCTGAAGCCTCGCCAATCATCTGCGATATCCAGTACCATGGCTGTCCAAGGCCTCCCTCCTCCGCCTGACAGCAAGCCACCATACTGGATGGGACAATGAAAAACACTAAGCACCCCAACTTCATATCGGCAGGAAGCCAAATCCACGGAGTTCAGGTCCTGAAGACTGACGGAGCGGCTTGGCAATCGGCTTTGAAGGATCCAACAACCATTCTATGACGATTGCACGATCCTCATTGACGCAATCGAGGTTGATGGCCACATAGTCCAAGTTAATGGTCTGACGTGCAGGCGTGGGACTTCACATTCATCAACCTCCAGCTTGAAGACTTATAACGCAGCAGACAATCCCAAACGTTTGAAGCAGTACGAACGACCATTTGTTAGGTGAGCAGCATATAACATGCGCTCGAACGCACTGCCCGACCTAGAGGCGGTATGGAGCAAAACATAGTCGCACGCGAGTTCGTGGGTCATGCGTTTGTGCCAATGCAACTTGGCGTGGAAGGTGGAAATAGGCTTCAGAGATCCCGATGTTTTGCGCAGCAAATGGGTTGTTGTGAGATACTCGCATGAAGATTGCAGCCACGCAACACCCTAAGCAGTCGTCCCGTTTTTGCATGGTGTACGAGTGCGGCTGTCGACTTTCAGACATTCTCAGACAAATGAGCTGCAGGGTACTGGTTCCTGAGCTGCAGCCCCATGTAGCATTCCGAATGGCCAAACTAGCGGTAAAGGCGTCCGCAGCACTCAGGCCGGATGTGGGCACACCACCACTGCTCCGTGCTGAGGCGCCAGTCTGTCAGACCATCTTCACCTCCACGGTGGAAGACGTCGCAGGTCATCAGACCTATGGTCCCGGCAACTGCTCAGTAAACACCACCTAAAGATGGCGTTCCATATGCTACACAGAGCAGGACCCATCCAAGCATCCTGGTACTGGCAGCACAAGTTCGCATCTGTCGAAAAGTGTCATCGAAAGGGGCATCAAGCGCTCATTAGCATCATTCGCATACAAATATATACAAATAAGCAACAAACTAAAGAAACAACTCCGCAAGCTGAAAAGCAAGACGACATACATCTCACTGCGGCAAACACAACATAAAGTGACGGGGAAACATTGCGACTCGATGGGAAAAGAACAACATCAGTGCATTACAACACAGGAAAAAGACTTGAACATTCGAGTGGATCAACCAAAAAACATCGAAAACAATAAGCAGGCATGCATCACCGTCAACAATACATTCACTCCACATAGCCCCGACGGTGCAGGGCTCAATCAGCCGGGCGGTACCGGTCTGAAACATAAGCAAGTGGACGGTACCACTGACCACACGCATACATCATTCACCGTCACCACGTAATGCTATAGTCAACGCCGCAGCGACACGATTTTGTCCAAGCTTCACCCGCACCCTTCCCTGGCCCCCCCTTTCCCGCAAACCGGCCGCGCACGTCTTCAGCACTATGACCCAAATCTTCCAACACACGGCGCATTGGTGAGGTCCCGGTACAAAGCATCCAGGCCGGAGTCTCAGCTGTGGGTAAACCAGCCCGGCCTTGCCAACTAACTTGACAGGCGGGCTGCAAACCATGGTCCACACTGACAAACCCGACCAAGTGGGTTTAAGCAAGAGAACCAGCACCCAAAACGTCCTTAGCCCGGTCAGCCCACCGCAAAGCCTCCTCCACAACCTTTCAGAAGCGCCCCCACAGAACAAAGGAGTCGAGGGGGGCAGCAGCAGCACCGACTTGTGCCGGGCGTGACCTCCTCCCCTTTGGATTTGGCCTGGATCACCCCGTCGGCAAGCCGCTGTAACAGGCCCCTGCCCGTTTGTCAGAAGCCCGGCCATGGCAAAGTCCATTTCCTTGATCTTCTCTGGCCTCAGAGTGGCCCTTGCCGGCCGCCCTGTTGCAAAGAGTGCGAGAAAAGGAAAGCGAGAAACCAAGATTTTCTAAGCGGACCCACGGTCCCGATCTATGGAGCCAAAATGGCATTTTGGCAGATGTCTCCTGACATAACTCTCTTAACTCGGCAGCCTCCTTGGCAAGAGGCAGCTCTTTTCGCATCTCACCACGGCGGGAGCGCCGCTTCAATCGGGCAAAGAAACCAAAGTTGCTGGAGGGTAGCAAAGTAAGAATATGTTCAACGCAAAAGAAGTTGCAGACAAAAGGAGAGCACTGGTTGACAAACCTGGCCTGACCAACCACACAACAACACTGAAGTCTGAATTAAGTTCTGAGGCAAGGCAGGCCTCCGTCTCGTTGCTTGCAGCCGTAATAATTCCTCTGATGACGAGGGTCAGAATGAGGGCTACGAACCTCGAACAGGTGTGAACAAGCAAAAGCACCTCAGAGCGCCACGAATCATGCAACTCAGTGTCAAGCACAATGGTCAGGATGGCGCCCAATGATGTTCGCGGCAAGTCCGAGCACGGTGGATGCTGCACAAGGCAATATGGCAACACGGGCTGATCGCAAATGCATCCCAAACGGAACTACCGGAACTCATGCTGCCCCCGACCATTTGCCAAGGGCCATCTTCGAAAAGCTTGGGTTGAACTCAAGGTGCTTCGCTCATGCAATCCTTACCGAGTGATTTTGTCGATTCTTCTGTTCCAATTGTATTGCATTGGATGCACTCCAATGTTGGCCCCCGCACCGTCTGCACCAGTCTGCACCAGGGTTCAGTTCATGGTGCATTCAACTCCAGAGTTGCCATGAGTATGCTGGTGCCAGTGCAGCGGATAACTTCTATTTCTGGCACCGTCAACTGAGTCAAGGGATCCAGGCCGTGTTCTCATTTGGGTGCAGCATGTCACTCAATAGCGTGTTTGGGAATTCATCGAAGATGAGACATTCAATCATGCGCGGCATAGCGCAACTTTGCTTCTCTACGTGATTGAAGGAACTAAACCCTAAAACTCGAACACCCCGAACTCCGAACCCAAACCTGAACAAACCGCGAAACCGCATAAAACCCTGAATAAAGCTTAAACTTAACCCTGAAGCTCGACCCTCAAGCGTAAGATCTCAGGCACCAAGGCTGTGCACCGTGGCGCTCGGCTTCGTCGGCGGAACTCCAACCCGGGCAATATTTCCCAAACTCTGAGGCACTGATCCGCACCACTGAAGTGTGGAATTGTTGGTATTCTAGCCAGTCGGTGTCGTTCGGCAATGACAACCTGTTTTCCTTTGTGCAGTTCTCATTGAAGTGCTTGCTACCACTCTAATTCAACCCATGTAAACTCTTAAGCCCGTAACAACGCTGCTTGAACTCCGAACTGAAAAGCCCTGCCACCCCCAAGTTTCGATACAGTTCTCACGAGCGGGCTAAACGGAGATTCTGGACACACGGCTGGCACCTTGTTGCTGCCACCTAGTCGATCGAAGTTCAGTGCGAACCTTGTGCAAGATGGGCTTCATCTTAGTCATCCGACACTCAGTGACTGCCTCCCAGACTTGTATTCGCCGAGTCTGACTTTGTTCTCGTACTCATTGAAAGGCTCATACCTGCAACAGGTCATGCTGCAGGAACACATTCTTGGAGCAGGTTTTGACTGCTTCAGCATGTGTGAGCAGCGGGGCATCTCCGAAATGCAGTTTGGGTAACATTTTTGGTGCGTCAAAATCAGGCTGCTGTTCCCGAAGCTTTTCAGCAATGATTCTGGGATACTGTTTGCAACACTACAATCTACAAGGTGACAAGTTGACAAAACTCTGGCTTCAAGGGGGGCGCTACAGGCTTTGGCAGATCACAGGACGCTTTAGCAAGTCCGCTCAGGGCATTAATGCCACAGTCGCACTCTACGCCGAGAAGGCTCGTCGCGCCTGTGCCCACCCACACACACACACACACACACACACACACAGACAGACAGACACACTTACCTTGGCTCGGCACGAGCTGATGCGAAGGAAGACAGACCAGACCCGACGAGACAAAGACTGATTGCAGTAACCGTGCAATTCCACTGGAGCCCAAGTATAGAAACAACAGCCTCTTTTGCGTAGCTTGGGCTGGCCTTTGCGCAAGTACACAAAGGTGATCAGCCGTTGCTTCCCATCAGATTCCGTAGCTTTCTTGGGCCGGTCCAAATTCTGATGCAGCACCGCCCTGCCTGATTGAAATCACTGACGAACTACTGCGTTAGGATGCTCACATCGGACGCCATGTACAGGCGTGTACACAAACACACACACGCCCTGGCGTTCCAGGGCTGCATCAGACAGCCAGTTATATCCAGCTTGAAAATCCGGAAAAGCACGAGCAGGAGCAGGCGCAGGAGCATGAGCAGGAAGAGGAAGAGCAGGAGCACGAGCCGGAGCAGGGGAAGGGGGCCGGGCAGGAGCAATAGCAGTAGCAGTAGCTGTAGTAATCGGAGTGGTAATTGGTAGTCGTCGTCGTCGTCATCGTCTTTATAAGATCTCATGCTACCCTTGCGCACACCCCTTGCGCGCATCGGTTTTCAAAGCAACCGGTGTGCAAGCCTTACGTGCACGCGACTGTTGCTTACGCGCGCTTGCTCGCCCATTCGTTAATGCCGGCCCTAGTCTGGCCATTACTACATGTCATGCCAGTGACATGCGGGATGCCAAGGGGTGGGAACAGCAAGCTGGCCTGATGCAGCCACGCAGCTTCTGCGCGAGTCTGTTCAGCACGCTGATGCCACTCTTTGGCTTGAGATAAGTAGTCTGCCAAAGGTGCGTGGCGGATTGTAATACATCACAAAGCCCGATACCTGTTGGCCTGCATATCGAGGAAGTCGCAAGGAATAGGATTCTTTTCGTGCCTGGACCGCGGCGCTCTCTTTTTGCAGAGATGCCTCGGAAAGAACCTGCCTCGTGTCATCTGTCACCTTCGCCGCTGAAGGCTTTCTGGATGATTGGCGTGGCGCCACTGTCTCCATACCAGATATCGGTGGTGCAGCCTTTTCCTTTGCATCTGCTTGGCAGCAATCGTCTCCAAGCTCCCTCCTCAAAGCCTGACCATGACAGAGCAGGCATCCGACTCAAGGTTCTGAGCAAACTGAAGGCGCACGTTGCCATGAAGCTGCGAGCCCTGGGCAGATGCCAGGACTTCCTCAGTACAGTAGCACTGCGCTCCGCTCTCTATCCGGGAAGCCTCTACTCAAATCTGCACTGCTTTGCGCCTTCACTCCCAATCCAGCGGGACTCGGACTCGCGACTGCTGGAGCTGGCCTTACTCCAACAACATCCACTAAACTTCGCTCCCTCCGAGCCAGGACTCTCGACAGCCTGCGCATGTCGCGGGATGCGCGTGACCGCCCTGAGGACATGGCACAGGTGATGTTTCTGCCACTGCGCTGTCGAGCTCTGGGTCTTCAGGAGGAGAGCTTTCATCTGCGGCCTCTGCCAGTGTTCAGGTATTCGCGAAAGACAGGCTGCCAAAGTTAAGTGCTCCACGAACCCAGAAGCTGCTGACCACAGTAAAGTATTGCTCAGCCCGCCTTCGTGTTGTTGGTGTTTGAGTCATCTATATCGAACCAGTCACCAGAACTTGCCTCCATGCAAGACCTGATGCCAAGCAGAGAATTGAACGTGACAGCTCCACGTGCCGTGCCAGTTCGAGCACATGTGCAGAACAACCTCACCTGCACGAGCAAGGCTGGCAGGGAAACACCGCATTGACGATGCAAAGAGAGGTTAGCCAATTGGGAATGACGACCGTTTGAGGTTTGCTAGCTTGGCAGTTTCTGGGAATGTTGTGGCGCTTGAGCCAAGGATTCAAACATGCGGACAGGCGGCGATAGCAAGCTTGCCCAAACATGGCCGCCTCCCTCGTAAAAGAGAAAGAAGCAGCACTACACTTTGTTCCCGTGCCGGTCGGTGAACTGAGACTCTAGACCCTTGCATCCAAGCCGGATGTCACGGCTTGAACATTGGAAGGCGACATGCAGACAGCGCAAACCCGACTGGCATGGTGCAATTGTGTATTTCCCGTGCACCAGGACATTAACTCCAAGACTTTCCGCTGGCCTCTGGACAGTCAAAGCATAGAAGCACACTTGTGTGAGACACAAGGACATGTCAGAGGTCAACATTCCGCAATGCCAGCTAGCCGGGTACTCACCAGGCCGAGCTCACCTCACTTCTATTATGTACAAGAGGTTTCACGCTTTACGCTTTGCGGGCGACCTCGATCCACTACCATGCAGATCAGAGCAAGATTCTGCAAACATGGAGAACAATGGACTGAAGAACAATGGGTGCCCCAGCGCTGCAAACAGAAGATGGCGGTGGAGGCAGCAAGGGAAGCATCGAAGCCTTCGAGCCTGGCGAAAACCCCTGACGACTCTCTCTTGACCCAAAGCAGCTCCAAGGCAACCCTGCCGCATCCTGCCACCCCTGCCTTGTGTGCCGACGGAATGCGGCTTCGTCTCTATGAGCTCTTCCAGCAGACCTGGAAGCCAAGAGGCTGTGGGCACTGTGGGCAGGGCACACAATGCACACAGGGCTCTGGGCAACGATTCTTGTTTGACCGGTCCTGCCTGAAGCGGAGGGCGAAGTAGGCTCACCTAACAAGCTGGAACTGCTCGCAGGATTCTCTCCACAATCGAAAGCAGAAGGCAGCATGCTGCATACACGAGGCAATCACCATGCTGCACCACTGCCTGTGTTGTATCCTGGAAACCAGACGCCCATTCAGAGGAGGGAACTATTTGAGGTATGGGACAACTGCGACAACCTGTTTAAGTCGGGACAGTGATGCATTCACTAGTTTAGGACGAAGCTGTGTCATGCAAAAGGAGGTTCAAGGCAATTGGGGCTAGTGAAGAGGCAGCCGCGAACATGCCCGGCCTTGCAGCGCAGCCTCACGTACTTCTGAATCTCTTGGCCGTGCCTTGTGCTGAAAGCTATGACCTGGCCGTCAGGCCGTGTCGCTTTCACGTGACACCTCAAAGAGAGCGCCGAGATGGCCATTTGATGGTCGTGGTTCGTGGCCTCCTGTCGGAGATGGGCCTCGACGCACGTCCAGGAGCCCGTGCCTGAAGGAAGAGCTCACATAACCCTCTTGCTTCCGGAAGCGCTCGAGGCTGTGGCGCTCAAGCTTCTCACAAACGGCGATGAAGTTCAAGAGATCCTGCCCGTTTCCTTCCGCCTGCAATACTGTGATGGCACAAACGGCATTTGATCCTCTCACTTCCTTTTGTGGGGTCGTGGATCCATGGATCTGGTTGGACCACCTTGCCATCGAAGGCCGCGTTGGCATCCTGAACGATGGGACCCGTCATCTCTTCTTGACCAGCCCATCGAGGACACACCTCAAGACTTCGGAGCACAGGAGGCTACCAAAACTCATGGAGTTCAGGCTGGAAGGATCCCGAGTCGACAGAAGCGGCGAAGCATGGCGCAAAAAGATGTCACGTTGTGACCCTCGAGGCTTCTGACAACCAGTCACTCTTTAGGGAACCCGTCCTCCAAGTGTGTGCCATACCACCTTTTCACTTTCGGCAAGCCGTCATTATCCGTCATTCTTTTCTCGGGCACCCACCGCCAAACCCTAGCCCTGAACCACAAAACCAACCATCGAAGCTCGACCCCGCAGCGCAATTGCCCACCCACTCGAAGCCCAACTCCCCACGGATTAACGCCCCGCGACGCCCAAACCAAAAACCCAAGCATCGAAGCTTGACCGAATCCCCAAACCAAAAACCCCAGCAGATCCGAAGACAGAGCCGCAAACCTTCCACCCGTCCGACCCTTCCCCAAAATCTAGAAATTACAAGGAAAGTCAAGATAAAATATCGAAAGGGCTTTGGAAACTAGTGACTCCCCGAGGCTGCGGATGGCTGTGGCTTGTTTGAACCAGTCGTTCCAAGGCTCAGTCTTTTGGGACTTGGGGTTTGCCACAGTTCTTGGCAATCACTCATGCCAACAAATGCCCACGGGGTCGCAGACGTTAAACTCGGAACAACTGCGATTCGAAAAGCGAGGCGCCAGGTGCAATTGAGAATGGGCACCCGATTGAAAATTCCATTTCTGGGATTGCCCCATCTGGCGCCCCTTTTTCGTTGCGCCACTTCGTGGTGATGCTTCGCATGGCGCCTGGAAGCTTTATCGAGGCACTCCGGCGGGTGAGCCCTCCTGTGTTGTGTCGAATCGCTCGCAAAACATTGCGCCGCTTGTGGAGCAGCGCGCAGCTTCGCTGCAGCTTTCGGGGCATGTGCGAGACCCTCTCTGTAAGGCTGCAGCAACCAAAGAGTTTGTTTCGGATGTCGCCGCTATCAATGAACATCGCAAGCGCGAAAACCGCCTGTCGCACTGCCAGCAAGTGTCCCGCGCACTATTTCGGGAGCTATCTTGCAGGACCTTGACACATCCTTCGGCAAGCCAGCAAGGAGATCAGCTGCGCGCCCCTCACCGTTGGCCTCCGGCATGTCAGTGAGCTACGGCGCAAAACTTTGCTTGCCAACCCATGGCCTTTGCCAGAAGCTCGGCAAGGGGAACTCGCAGCGCAGCCACTGCCTTCAATGGCGAGACAACACCTGCCTGGAAACACATGAACGCAACGTGTCATCTAAAGCTTTAGAAGTCGCTTGCCTTTTTCAGTTGCTCGCGCTGCTTCACCTCAAACCTGGGGGTGAGCAGGGTGCTGGCAGCAGGTAGTCGTAAGAAGAGGCAGGCAAGGCGCAAGTCCTCCGGTCTTCGCAAGGACACTGACACGGCCTGCATGTCTTCCTTCATCCCGGCCTGTGTCGAAACCGACTTCGTCAGCAAGGCCCTGCGGAGCCCTGCACTGAGTCACTGAGTGCCTCATCCTCCGCCGACGAAAAGAAGCGGCCCACGGTTTCAGCCGCCCCGAGCAATTTCCAAGTCAGCGAGACATCCTGCATTCAGGGATGCAGAGGAGACACAGACCCCTTCGAAGGGGAAACAGATGCAGAGATGTAGAAGAGCAAGAGCAAGACACCCTAAGTCGTAAGCGCTCTGCTAGCTTCCCTCCTCCATTCGATCTGAGGCTGCACGCTGCGCGTCAAGGCGCAGCTCGAGTCCCAGGTGCTGGCACGGCTGGCAAAGTATTTGATTTTATTCGCTATTCATGTAAGGACTGTCTTGCAGCCCCGCCTCTGGCAAGAGTATTAGAGGACCATCACGAGGTTCAGCGCTTGACTGCGACAAGCATCATCGGTTTGCAAAAGCCCTCGTGGCTCTGTTTTCACTGTTCCGACCTGGTACAACCCATAGCCCATGGCATTGCGTCGCAAACAATAGATTCCACCGCCTCGGAATGTGTTACTCCGCCCCCGGATTTGCAAGCACTGCCGGGCCGGCAGCTGTTGCGGTCGCGCCTGTTGCCGAGTCACGCTTGATCTCGGAGACTCCCATAGGCTCCTGAGCCTGCAGATGTCAGTTCACATGCATAATTGCAAACTCTCACCACAATGTCAGCGCAGAGTCATGCCTCAAATCGTGTGACCTTGACCCACAAAGCCGTGATAGAGTCCAAAGCCTCGATATCATGTTTCTGCAGAATACCGGCCACGATTGAGTGCCTGACCTCTTGCAGGACGCTGGAGGGCAAACTCATGTCCTGCTGGAAAGATGGAATCGGCCTCCCAGGTGATGATGGACAAGCTCGTGTGTCAAGAATCTTCATAAAAGGAACAGCTTCTGAGAACAGGGCGCCGTGCCGGACATCCCTTGTGCAAGTATCTCACCAGCACAATCCTGCACAGCGAATGTGACTGCTCCGCGCATGACCCCAGAAACCGACAGTCCTCGCCGAGCACAACAGTGCCATGCGCGATTGTGCCTATCACCTACGAGTGCTGTCTGAGCAAACTCTGCAGTTTGCAAACGGCTCCCAGAGGCTCTGCCGATGCCCCAGCGCCTTGGAGCTCAGCGACGGTGCCGATCGCACACGCCAGCCTGGGCCAAAGATCATGTACATGCCACTTCTAGCAGATTTGCTCATACATGATATGGAAAATCTGAAGCCAGTACGTCCTTCACACCGAACACTGTATCGTTTGAGGTGGATGTCCTGCAGCTGCAAGGGTGGCCCCTTGCAGGACTCAAGAAGAGGCTTGGAGCCAAGGAGTCAATGTCCATCAGTCCTCCGTGTGGCCTTCCAGTTTCGGACGCCTTTGCAGCTAGCAGATAATCGCGCGGATTCCGAACGGAATTCAACCATATGTCAAGGTCCGTGCTCACATAAATCATGCTGTGCCGGGGGCGCATCTTCCTTACAGGCTTCGGTGAAGCTTCGTGAGTGTCGTTCGTGCAACTCTGAGGCGATGTACTCACGCGAGTTTACCAACTGAGCCGCTATCCCGTGCTTCACGCGCTTCGCGAGTGCTGGCAGGCTCTAGTGGGTAGCCAGCCTGACATCCAGACAGTCACTATTCCTGCACCTCCAGACGCAGTTCATTGTTCTGTGTTTAAGCTTTTTGTTTGGCTTGGCTTCCTTCCAGGGTCTGCTACGGACCCAAGGGTCTCGTACTCCTGGACGGCCTGGATGCGACAAAAATTGTCAGAGGAGACTGAAAAAGGCAGAGAAGGCCTCAATGACTGCACCTTGATCTTCATAGGTTCTCTGCAAAGTTGTCACGGGCTTGTGGAGAAATTGCATTCAATTGCTTCTTAGCAGGTCTTCATAAAGTCAGGATGGTTTGGGAATAGTCCTAACACTCAGGAGCTTCGCCGAGCTTGTGTTGAGGCACTGTCGCCTGAAAGATTAGATGGCAGCACTCCAAAAGCCCGCGTCGACGGAACCATTTCCGTAGCACGGAACATGTTACCATGTGAATGTTCGGCACTCTCACCAGTTGAGGCTAGGGTACGGTTTGGCTTAGGATTTAGCATGTAGGAAGGCTTTAAAACGTTTCAAGTGCTCGATTCTCTGAGGGTTTCGAAGCAACTTTAAATTCCAAAGTTTCACTTCGAAGGTTGCAAAGGACGACCTGCTAGAATATGAGTACTCAAGGTTCTTGCAGGCCGAACAAGGATAAGAACAAGAACAAGCCCAAGAACAATCAAGAACATGAACAAGAACAGGAATAGGAATAAGAACGAGAACACAGGAATATTGACGAGAACAAGAATGAGAATAAGAACAAAAAATCAAAACAAAAAGAAAGACTGGTAATAATAATAAGAAGAAGAAAACTTTCCAATAAAAACAGGTTCCAATAACAATGCACAAATAATCATAATCATAACAAAGCCAATAATAACGACACTGCTGACAACATCAGTAATGAAGACTAACAGCAAAATTAATAGTAACAATACTACGCATGGCAGATATACCTATGTCATATAACTATATCTGTATATGAGTATATGTATACAGAGAGAGAGAGAGAGAGAAAGACTGAAAGAGAGAGAGAGAGAGAGAGAAAGACAGAAAGAGAGAGAGAGAGTAAAAAAAAAAGAAAAGAGAGACGGAGAGAGCAACGTTGCAAGCTGTCCTTTTTCGTCTGACGCAGAATGTTCACCATCCAGATGTGTGTGTGTATGGATCTTGCATGTTAAAAATACAAACGGCACAACGAACGAGTACAGACCATACTACACTGCAAGCCTTAAAGTCACTTGTCATCACCCAATGTTTGTGCAAGATTCGCAAAAGGCCGATCAGAGCAAGGTCGTGCGGCACCTGAAGTGGAACGATGCATGTGGTTCTGACGTTGCAAGTCCGTGAATACCTGTTGACACCCGCTTCATCATGGCAAGAAGCAAGCTTCGGTGTGCGCTCGCAATGCCGCTGCTGTCAAACATGTTGAATTGGAACCTTGCAGCACTTTGTAACCTTGCTCTGGCCAGGTTTGCTGCATCCACGACACGGAACCTCTGCATTTCTGGCGACAAGGGCGGTTCTGCATTCCTTTGCCGGATGTCTCTGATGCCGGCTCCTGGCAAGAATGCTCACAGGGCCCCCCAACATCCTACGCAGTGCCGCAAAGAATGCCGGAATCCTGTGGAATGTTCCTCGCTACTGGAACAAGGGAAGGCTGAACTACCTTCCACGTGCCCCGACCGGGTTTTCTCAAAAGGACCTCAGTGCGATTGAGTCTGTTCTCGTTTTTCTCGAGAGCTGAAACGTATATGTAGTGCTGATGATGCCTGCCTCTCTTATCCATATTTCCCTTTGTTCTCGGATCATTTAATGAACTTTCATGGAAAGCTTGCGAAGCAAAGGGTTGCAGGACGCCTGCGGTTCGAACTTAGATTCTATACAGTATGGTATGCAAGTTCTCATAGCACTACGACTCATAGACTCATTTGTGGGAGGAGGGGCTGGGACGAATGATAGACTGGGCCACTAGCAAAGGCTCACAGATTTGCATGCAAAACTGTGGCAACATTGAAAAAAACTGGGTTTCTCAGGCTACCTTGCTGCTGTGCGTTTCGTTTCACCGACAACAAACACTGTACTGAGAGTCTTTGCAAGTATGACTCCCCACGACGCATTTTTAGCTCGGTCAGTGCAAGCATGCGTCCACCACGCGGAGGTCGCCACTGCAAAATGGGAGCTCGTACGTCTCCCAAGGCACGCGCAAATGGAAACCGGAACGCCTCAGGGCAGTGCCTTGCGTGTGTCACCAGTTCTTCGAGGCCTGACATGCGCCGGGTTTGAGGCATATTAGCCCTGTTTGGGTGGGGGGTCCAAGACTGGAAAACGGAACCCATTCCGTTTGGATATTGTGGTCCTTGGATGCAGAAATGGGCTCCGAAGCAGATTACCCCTCGGATTCCTGTTGTGCGTGCCAACCAAAAATGGAAAGTCCAGGGGTTGACCCCCCTCCTGATTCCGTTTTCCCACAGTGAGATCTATTAGTCTCAAGATATACAGCAGATATCCAGAGACACCTCCAGGGCATCCCAGGGTGTTCAAGAGAGCATGGCCGTGCCGTCGTGACACTGTGGAACGCTCGTGACTCCGCGAGCTGTCCGGCTGGGGCAGGCGCTGGATTTGGATAGTAGGTCTGTGAGTGTTAAGGAGTTCAGGGATTTGGATTTAGGGCGTAGGGTTTTTTGGGCTTCAATAGAAAGCAAAAAAGGTTAGATAGAAAACCCCAAACCCTAATAAAACGGTTAAACCCTAAACCCTAATAGCCCAATACCCTAAAGCCCTGAAACCCTAGAACCCTAAACAAGCTGAAGGCTTAAAAGCCTTAAACCGTCACACTCGAAAGCCCGTTTTCCACAGGCTTGATTAGTGCGCGCCCGGACAAAGTCCCCAAGCACATCGCACTCGTGGCGAGATACTCGAAAGCCCTAAAGCCCTAAAACCCTAAACCCTAATAATCCTCGAAACCTAAAGCCCCAAGATCCAAACCCTCAAACTCCAAGCCCCAAAACCCAAGCCGTAAATCCCTAAACTCTACCAGAGCGTTCCACAGCGTCACGACGGCACGGCCATGCTCTCTTGAACGCCCTGGGATGCCCTGGAGGTGCCTCTGGATATCTGCTGTATATCTTGAGACTAATGGATCTCACTGTGGGAAAACGGAATCATGAGGGGGGGTCAACGCCTGGATGTTGAATTTTCCTTGCCGGGACTCCAAAACGGAATAGGGTCACCCTCCCACCATTCCGCGTTTTTTCGCGTACCTTAACCTCCGCTGAAAAGGTCCCTTTCGAGCGGTTTGCTACCTGTTTTGTCAGAGTCTGTAGTCCCTTTCGAGCGGTTTGCTACCTTTTTGAGCTTTCGAGCAGTTTGCTACCTGTTTGTAGGATTCTCCAGTCCCTTTCGAGCGGTTTGCTACCTGCCTGTCAAATTCTTTCGAGCGGTCTGCTACCTGTTTGTCGGATTCTCTAGTCGACATGGAATCCAGGAGCGTGGGGGCGGAACCATATCCTACTCCTCGTCCCCAGATTCCCCGTGACAGCCGGAGGAAGAACAAACGCAGGAGGAACAATGGTTCCGTCCTGTTCTTGGGTCAGCTTCACGCATGTTGTGGCCTGGACAAGGCGGCGCCGTAACAGCTCCTCCCTTGCCTCGGGAACATGCATGGCCACATGACACTCTCTTTCATTTTCGCATTCGCTGCAGCAACTTTGAATGCGAAAATGGATAGACATGACACACAATAGCTCTGAAGGCGTGCAGGACAGAACACATCGAGTGGAATGCAAGAGACCTTGTCGACATAAACTGATGCATCCCCTGCCGTCATGCTGTACCTGAGCATTGACGACGAATGACTCGGCCATTCGACCCTGTACATGCACATGATCTGAAACTTGGCCGGCAGCTTTCGCATCTGCAAGAGAGCGACCTCGGCCAGCACCATGCAGAAGTCACAAGGCTTCGCTAGCGGCTACTAACTCCATGGTGTGGTGCTTGTGACACAAACAGCTGCTCCGTCTGGCACAACCTACTGTACAGCGAAGTCCTCCACAGCCTCCGAATCACTTCCAACGCAAACTAATGGATTCAATAGATCTTAGGTCTTAGGTGCAGCCGTGTACCTGGCAGCTTCATTTCAACCACCCAGAGTCGCAGCTTCTGCTCCGAGAATGCTCAAGCATCGGAAAACACCGTAAACTTCCCGAGCTCCTGCATCCCGAAGAAGCACTATCCCGAAGTTCAAACCCCACACCTTCCGAAGCTGGTCCAATCACTGCTGGGGGTTAACAGCGTTGCCAAGACACCCACGCTTGACGCAACATCGCCCAAGAAGTAGCCCTTGCAGTTATCAATCGGTGGCGAAGTGCCACTGTCTCATCGAACCCCATGACCTTGAGGAACGTGACAAAGCTGCTGGCCTTGAGCCTGTGCAGGTAAGTGCCACACTGGCGATGTGAGAGAGTAAGCATTCGGAATCCATTCCTGAAAAGTGCAGGGTGCAGCGTTCATACAAACCATACTTTGTGACCTACCCCGAAACTTTTGCTGTGGGTCAGATGCTCGCATCTGAACGAAGATGCTGAGGCCAAGCGTGCAGACTGTAGTGGTGTGAGATGAGAGTACCTCCGCTGTCAGACAGAAATCTCAGCTGCAACTACAGCTCGACATCCCATCCACCAACAGACTTGAATCCCAGCGCCGCAGTCAAAGCTACGGCTTGGAAAACTTGACAGATCTTGAAGGGCGGTTTCCAGAAGGATGCGTCAGCCTGCATTCAGACTGGTGGGCCAAGCAATCCAACTTCGCAACACGGACGGAAAGGGCGCCAGAGTGCCCGATCGCCTTCAGCAACTCGTCTCTCAAGTCAGACAGCACCAGCTGATGCTCGATGGCCTCAACGTCGTGCGGAATTTTCAGGCAGGATCAATCCGACAAGAAGCAGACAAAAGCATTGCGGATGTGCATCCATTATTCGGAGCAGGTCTACTGCACTTATGCTTCTTAGCGGCAGTCTCCAGCGGCACCTGTCACTCAGCTCACGAGAGCAGCCAGCACGAGAGTTGGTTTCATTTCTGTTTCAAGTCTGCGCCTGACGGGTGTACGCCCTCAAGCAATCGACATCTAATTGGACGCTGAACTTCTCGCGACCAATTGAGTCTCGAAAGCTTCGAAGACGCATGCAGCCTGATACTCTGCCGGCTGCGGTCTTACACTTCAAAACCAATGCAAAGCCACCGAGGGATTGATTCTCACGTTGCAACAAAGGGGCTTGAACCAACAGCATACACCGGTTCACGCAGTTTTGGCTTCTCCAAGGATCGCCTCTCCTCGTTGCAATATCACTGACTGAGCTATTGATGTCCGTCTTAGCAAATTTGTGTGAGATCCTGGCCTCCATGAACTTGAGCAAGGCAGTCCGAACACCTTCTTGCATCTTCGAAATCCTGATCTTGTGGGGCAAAACCACTCGCTGCCATAAAGATGTTCTGCAAGGCTGCTCGGGTCGACAAGGTCTGTGCAGGACTGAAACAGGAAGCTCGGCAAAGAGCAAACAGTGTCACTTCCATGTGTTCAACAGAAAGAAAACTTCTCTGGATTTGTCTGCATGATACTAGCAGCAAATCTCGAGTGCTCTGCGATCTCTCTGCGCCCAGTGCGAAATAAATAAGACGTTCCATCTGTAACACTACAATAAAGCATCACGGAGCAGCCACAACTATGTGCAACGCCAGCCGCTCTTGGTCACGCATCGGCTTTTCCATTTCTCGTAATACTTCGTGAAGGGTTGTCAGACTCTCTTCTGGCACTTTTGTTGCTTTTCCTGAAAGCAAATCATCACCGTTTGGTGCTGCAGTGACAGCTGGGATCTGCCTGCCCCAGATTCAGTGTGGCCAGCTTCGCTTGTCGAACGCCGCTTGCATCTGGTGTTGCTTGGACCTGCAAGACTTCAGCTCGACTTGGAATGCAACACTTGGCGATATGTGCACGGATGGCGCCTCCGCTTTTGTTCGGGTTGGCAGGGCCTTGCCGGCTTCCATCATACAGGCTCCGCTCGGAGGGATTCGACAACGTCTCCTCAGCAGCTATGACACAGGTACTTCAACTTCCAATCTGTGCCAAGCAGAACGGACACCTGAGCTCTCAGCAAAAGCCTTGGTGACCAAACAAAATGCTTCAGAGCTTCCGCCTCGCACATGACAGAGCAGGACACGATCCGTCCACATGCAGCAAGAGCAGAATCAGCAGAACAAAGGAGGCAAGATCAAGAGCAGCTGCAGGAAAAAGCATAGTGGAAGTCGACGAGTCCACAGCTACTGCCGATCATGCTCTTTGTCCTCGTCCTGCTCCTGCACATTCTGCTACTACCACCACCATTACCACTACCACTAGCACTACCATTACACCTACCAATTCAATTCAATTGGACGCCGTGCGAGCGGGCTCCGCACGTTGCGGACGATCGCCGCTTGTGCACTCACTTGAATGTGAAACTGACCCGATGACCCTGTATGGTCTGAGAAGTCCTTGAAATGATCCAATGATTTGTAACTGGAGTTGCGGCCTACCAAGTATGTATGCAGCGTCAATCACGTACAGTGAAGGTCCTGACATCCTGCCTGTACAGTGCGGGAGAACGGCTTGGTACCTGAAGCCGGCATTTTGTGCACGCTCGATCGCATCTGTAGTGGTGCAACTCCGAGGCTTCGCGACTGCTGTGTCTCTTTTTCAAGCCTGATGACAATGGCTCAGATGCAGAAAGACCATCAGCCTGCTGGGCAAGAAGAAAGTGTGAAGAGACTTGGTCAGTCATGCGTTGCCTCCGCGATTATGCTGCTACTCTGCCATTGGCACCATTTTGAGTGACGTGTCACTGGCGCCAGGAGTAGCCGCCGCCACAGCTGGAGCCAGAATCACGCTGCCACCAGCCGCCACCAGACCAGTCTGATCCCGGCCATGACTCGCCATCACGATGGCGCTTATCCGTCCGGGTGGACGGCTCTTCTCCAGAGCGTTTGTCACGCTGCTCCTTCTGGCGATGCCACTGGAAGATGGAGGTGTCGCCTTTGTTGTGTTCGATTCGCAGCTTTCGCTGCACCTGACCATCTTTGGGCTGGTAGAAGATGGCACGGTTCATGCCCCCACTTCTTCGGCTGGTCTGGTCGTAGATGCACTCGAAAGTGGACGCAACGATTTCGAAGTTGTCATCTGTTTCCAGTAGGGAACTCATGCCAGAGTGGTCCCACATCTTCTGAAAGAGGGAGTGCACGATGCCATAGTACACGGTGGTGGCTTTAAGTTCAGTGTAGCGGTTGTTCGTGCCAATCGAAAATGTGACTTGGCCATTGGCCCCGACCATGATAGGGCCGCGAATCTGTTGGTCCACAACGTAACCTGCTCCGAGGCTGTCAAGCCTCCGGTAATGGCCTGCTCCTTCATAATGGAAATCGTGGCAAAGGCGTGGACCCATTCCAGCATCTGGTCAGATTGACAGATTTGCACAATCTGGTCCCGCTTAATTAGGGAGCTGGCTGGCTTCTTGTTCTGGTGAAGGGTTCTCGCTTTAGTCCAGGAGCTGTGTAGTTGTGACTGGACCCTGGTATTTGACAGCTGCTCCGGAAGAGGGCGCGTCCACTCGGTCCTCAACTATAATGGTGCCGGTGCCGGAGTCTGCGGAGCTGTCTGTGCCTGGGGGTCATCATTGCTGCTGGTGGAGGCAGCTCCCGGAAAGAGGCGTCGCGGGTCTGGGCTGTTTGGGTTGTCGGAGTAGGCGGGGTTAGTGCATCTGCAGAGGACGCCGCCGTGTCCCGCGTGCCTCTTCCGTGGGCTGGTAGCTGGGGTGGATGCTGCTGTTGGGGAGGTTTGATCCTGGTCAATGACCTCATCTTCAATAGCAGCAAATGGCCTGTGGCCCCGCGTGAAGGTGCTGAGACCTTCCGGAATGGGTGGCAGCCCCAGTCCAAACCTGGCTTTTGAGACCGCGGCAGTCGGCACCCACCTGAGGGGCCGGTCCGCAGTGGGGACCGCTCGGGCACAGTTTGGTTGTGCCGACTTTGGAGGAAGTGGTGTGTCACCCCGAGCTCATTTGGGAATTTGAGTTTGCGTCCTTGGCGGTCGCAGTATCTGCAGGAGAGCCAATCTGGTTCGTCAGGGTGCGTGCACAGACCTCGGGGGATGTTGCGCAGGACTGCTTCCGCCGTGATACCCTGGTACTGTGGTTCTCGGTCGATGGCAGCCATGATCCTGTCAAAATCGCCCAACTCCAGGCTGCTGAGCACCGTCTCGCCAACAACTGGAACCCCCGCATTGGTGAGCAGTGCTCCCGGCGCAGTCCATGGTGCAGCTGAGGCATCGCCTCCGGCCGCGATGACCTCCGAGACGATTTGTGGCACACTCTGCATAAGAGTGCGTTCCATGCGCTGTGCTGCACTACACCTACCACTACTACTACTACTACTACTACTACTACTACTACTACTACTACTACTACTACTACTACTACTGCTACTACTGCCAGTGGGGCAGTGGCGGTGACAACGCAGTAGTAATAGTAGTGCTGGTGGTAGTACTGGTGGCAGTAGTAGTAGCAGCAGCAGCAGGAGTAGCAGTAGTAGTAGTCGTCGTCGTGGTAGTAGCAGTAGTAGTAGTAGTAGTAGTAGTAGTAGTAGTAGTAGTAGTAGTAGTAGTAGTAGTAGTAGTAGTAGTGTCGTAGTCGTAGTCGTAGTAGTGTCAAGATGGCAAGCAGTTTTTGATCTAGGTTTGTGCATACATGGTATGCCGAAGCTCTAACTACTACCAACTGGATCACGTCTCAGACATCTCAGACCATACCAGGTCACCGGGTCAGTTTCACGCTTCAGTGAGTGCACATGCGGCAATCGCCCGCAACGTGCGGAGCCCGCTCGCACGGCGTCCAATTCAAAATAGTCGTAGTAATGCATGCATCTCGCCAAAAGTCTGTGGCGTCCGGTAGTAGTAGCAGCAGCAGTAGCACCAGTAGTAGTAGTAGTAGTAGTGGTAGTAGTGGTAGTAGTAGTAGTAGTAGTAGTTGTTGTAGTAGTAATATAAATAGTAGTAGTAGTAGTAGTAGCAGCAGTAGTAGTAGTAGTACTAGTAATAGCAGTAGTAGTAGTAGTAGTAGTTGTTGTTGTAGCGGCAGCAGCAGCGGCAGTAGGAGTAGTATCAGCACCAGCAGCAGTAGTAGCAGTAGCAGTAGCAGTATTCATTCATTCCGGAGCGTCGCACAATCCGGGTGCTGCTCAAGGCAGCTGTGCTATGGTAGCACAACCCATAAAGCAAGAGCTACTTATGAGCAACTTGCTGAGGCCTACTTGGCATCTCGCACCATGCTGTAAGAGCAGCCACTGCATCAGTCCGTTCTTGCAGAAAAGAGGGTGTTACATGCTCGATAGCAGTAGCAGTAGCAGTGGCAGTGGCAGTGGCAGTGGCAGTAGCAGTAGCAGTAGCAGTAGCAGTCAGGAGCAGTAGCAGTAGCCGTAGCCGTAGCAGTATCCGTAGCCGCAGCCGGAGCAGTAGCAGTAGCAGTGGCAGTAGCAGTAGCAGTAGCAGTAGCCGTAGCCGTAGCCGTAGCCGTTGCCGTAGCCGTAGCCGCAGCCGGAGCAGTAGCAGTAGCAGTAGCAGCAGTAGCAGTAGCAGTAGCAGTAGCAGTAGCAGTAGCAGTAGCAGTAGCAGTAGCAGTAGCAGTAGCAGTAGCAGTAGCAGTAGCAGTAGCAGTAGCAGTAGCAGTGCAGCAGTAGCAAGCAGTTAGCAGTAGCAGCGTAGCAGTCGTAGTAGTTTTGGTAGTAGTAGTAGTAGTAAGTAATAGTAATAAGTAATATATAATATAATAGTATAGTAGTAGTAATGTAATAGTAATAGTAATAGTAATAGTAATAGTAATAGTAAGAGTAATAGTAATAGAATAGTAATAGTAATAGTAATAGTAATAGTAATAGTAATAGTAATAGTAATAGTAATAGTAATAGTAATAGTAATAGTAATAGTAATAGTAATAGTAATAGTAACAGTAATAGTAATAGTAATAGGGTAGTAATAATAATGGTAATAGTAATAGTAAATAGTAATAGTAATAGTAATAGTAATAGTAATAGTAATAGTAATAGTAATAGTAATAGTAATAGTAATAGTAATAGTAATAGTAATAGTAATAGTAATAGTAATAGTAATAGTAATAGTAATAGTAATAGTAATAGTAATAGTAATAGTAATAATAATAGTAATAGTAATAGTAATAGTAATAGTAGTAATAGTAATAGTAATAGTAATAGTAATAGTAATAGTAGTAGTACTAGTAATAGTAATAGTAATAGTAATAGTAATAGTAATAGTAATAGTAATAGTAATAGTAATAGTAATAGTAATAGTAATAGTAATAGTAATAGTAATAGTAATAGTAATAGTAATAGTAATAGTAATAGTAATAGTAATAGTAATAATAATAGTAATAGTAATAGTAATAGTAATAGTAGTAGTAATAATAATGGTAATAGTAATAGTAATAGTAATAGTAATAGTAATAGTAGTAGTAGTAGTAGTAGTAGTAGTAGTAGCAGCACAACAACAAACCTACCAAAAAAAGTGACGAAATGCGTCAACTAAGAACTGGAGTGTGCCTCGTTCAGTCATCACAAGCATATCACCATCTTAAGAATTGCTTCAACACTTCCTCCATCGCTCTGGTCCATCCAGATGGGTTCGCCCACGAGCTAAAGCAGTGGCCCAGCAACATACCCACCTCTGTCCGGATGTGCACGAAGCACAGCTCGGCGGTAGGCAGATCGAAGCTCGCTGGCCGACGCATTACGATCGACCTGGCCACGCATGTGCGTCAAAACCACTCATCTAACCGAAGAGTAAGTCCGCGGCTCTCAGGATAGTGTAGAAATCGAGCGAACGCTGCACGCCACCCTGAACAACTGCAATTTGTCAGTGCTGATGCGCAGAAGTTGTGATGGGTGTTCCCTCCATGTGATAAGCCGCCAACCAGAGGGTTTCGCGATTCTGCAGCCATTGGAGACAAAATCTGCAAGCATGGTTTCGTCCAACCTCAGACACCCGGATGTGTCAAATTTTACGTGTCAATAAACCGTACGCAATACATGGACATAGCGATCGGACAGAATGAAGCTTGAACACAGCATGGACAGTGCTTTATTCCTCGCGCATGTATCCTCAAAGATTGTACTCTAAACAAGATGATCGCCCTCCAACGACGACCCAGAGGTGGCCAGGCGCAGCACAAAATCCCTCAACGCCAGGTTCCTCTCAGAATGTACATCCGTCAGCAAGGATTCTTCAATGCAAGTGCTGCCCAAATACATATGTTGCCATGGCGGCAAGTGAGTGCCAATAGTGGCTATCAAAAGCTTGCCATGGTGGCTAGCACCACGGCAATCATTGAACACTGCAGCTGCATTCACATAGGCACAGGGCGATCAAGGCGTTCGTGCTGCACAGTGACAGTGAAGACACCTCTATGGAACAAACACGGCAAGAATCGGCTGAACAAAAGCCTGTCGATCATCAGGAACTTACAGTCCAAGCAGATCGAAATCATCGAGCCTGAGATGGGGATGCAATCAATTCACCTTTGCAGTCGCTTTTTGAGAACGAGGCTGTCACTCCGACATGCCCAAATTGCATCGGTACCTCTCGAGCACATGCAGCTGATCACTGATACAAGTGAACCACAGCGAAAACGCAAAGCGTGCCTGAATGTCAGGTCGAAATCGCCCGTTCGCTCTAATCACCGAAGTCATGTTGGAAGCTTGACAGCGGAACACGCATGTTACAGCGTTGATGCTTAGTCGCCACAACTTGCGACCATGCCTGTGAAACACGGAAGTGACAGGTTCGGTTTCTTGTTTTGCGGCTTCGTCAAGTGCATAAAATTTTGACGTAAAAAAACGTGCCCACATGCCTGCTAGCATTGCATGGTTCCAGAGCATGCCACGTCCAAAATCAATCTGTTTCGAGACTCCATGTCCAAGAGCAGCGAAAAATTCATCGTAATAATGGCACCAGGCCAGCTGAACGGAAAATCACCCAGTCTGTTACTCTGCTCCACCATCATTTGAATTCCAGCTGGGTGCTATGAGGCGCGCAACAACGGACTTTCATCCGTCCATGCAAGCTGTCGCATTGTGACGCTGCAGCTCCAAGAATGTAACTATGTAACATTCAATTAAAGGATCACTCCATGGTTTTTACGAACACTTGAAACCGCCTGTACGCCGTCACGATGCTGAAGCTCGGATTTTTTTCCTGCCTGATACCATTTTAACGAAAAATTGTTTGTCTAGCCACTCAATGACCCGGAATGGCAACTTAGGCCGCCGAGTTCCAACTAGGAGTAACAAGGCGAAGCATTGCAAGAAAAGACGCAAGCAACTTCGTTGCGCTCGTCTGCTCCAGCTTCGTTTCCCACACAAATTTACACATATTCCAGACGTGACAAAACGTGCACGCGAAATATACCAAAAGGAGCTTGTATCGATCAAATCGAATTATTGGAATTCTGATCGATACAAGTGTATAAATATGTGAATATAGAACTATAGAACTATAGAAACATAGAAATATAAAGATGTACAAATGTAGAAATATAGAAATATATGGATATATAAATATGTAAATATAAGATATAAAATACATAAATATGGAAACATAAAAATATCGAAATATAGAAATATAGAAATATAGGAATATAAAAATGTACAAATATAGAAATATAGAAGTATTTAAAGAAAAGGATGGTTGTCAAAACTATGGTCCTTTTTTGGGCACCCTAAATATTAGGTGCCGTATTGTAATCAGGACCCCAAAAAGAGCCCTAATATTGACAACCACCCATATAAATATATGTAAATGTATAAAAACAGAAAATATACAAACATATAAATATACATATATGTTTAAATATACATATTTATGTGTATATATGTATATATACATATCTAGCTATATATATATATATATATTTAACTATATAAATATATAAATGTATATTTATATAAATAAATGTAAAAATACATACACATACAAACACACAAATATACAAACATACAAATACAAAAAAATATAAATTTATGAGTATATGAGTATATAAATGTACAAACATATACATATATATATATGCATAAACAAATGTAGAAATACATAAACATACAAATTTTGACTTTGAGTGCGCTGCTCGAGTAGTCAAGCTTGGCGAAGCTACCGAGACAGATGATTAATCATCCGGCCATTCTAGATGGCATGCCTTTGGCATTCTCCGCAAACGAGCGGCCCCGAGCCGAAGCTCCCGAAGGCGCGCGAGGGATATAACTGAACCTATGCGACGATACGGTCATCAATGACATAGAAAAGGAGGTAGCTGCTACGATGGAACTGTTCAATCTCGGAAACATTCGCAATCAACGATGCGGGCACATTATCGTCAGTGAGAAAAGACTGACCGCTCAAGTGATCATACAAAATTGCCTGATAATGGCCAGAGGTGACTTGCATTCCCAGGTGAATACAAATGGCTTGTAACCTGAAGTAGAGCAGATGGGTGCTTGTCGTAGAGTCATCAGTGAAAGTCGGGATAGCGAGTCGTGGCTGATGGGCCACGTGGTCATCACGCTTACTGCAATCATCACGGTAGCGAGCCAACTGTATCACAACAAGCTCAGTCCGTCCATTAAGAGCTCGAGTCCCAGCCTGCGTATGCCAGTCATTGATCAGGGATTGGGTGTCGTGCTTACCGGCAGCACTGAGTGGAAGGCAGATCACTGGTGAGTGGCCCTCTTCTTCCACACCTGTGTGCCTGTCGATCTCAACACGTGTTTGCCAAAAGACATCAGGTTGTGGGAATATCGAGCGGCCATGCATGTACTGTAAAAACTCTGCGGCATCATGCTGCCTGTGAGGCGAAGTCCAGTCCTGGATCAGGTTGAGCCAGATAGACTGAGACAGAATGAGCTGTGAGTGTTGACACTCAAGTATGCACCTGAATCCTCGCATGAGCCAATCCGGAACCTGAGTGAGGTGGGCAGGACAAAAGGTGAGGCTCCAAAGCCAGGCCATAAGCACTGCATGCATGTAGCACAGATTAGACGGGTTGCGAAGCCTCAGCTGGAGGATGTGAAGGCGAGTTGGCTCTGGATGTAGTGGGCCAAAGGGGATCTCTGCAAGCGATCCTGACGAAGGTTCATGCCAACCGTCTGTGTAATAGCCGATTGGCTCAGACGGTGCATTGTATCGAACGTCTCGTGAGCCAGCTGAATCCTCAGGCCTATATCCATAACAAAGACGATGACTGGCGCATCTCCGGTCTCCAAAAGGCTTCTCTTCGCATGGAATCGGTGGAGGACGCCCGGTTGGGCAAAGAGAAATAGGAGTCGGTCCAGAAGTCGGACGGCCTCCGTGTGGAGAATGGGTTCGTTCTCCTGGTTGATGACGTGTTTCTGCTCCTTGTTGTCCCACTGGAGGTAGTTCCAGCCTTTGCAATCTGCCGTGATCCACCCCCTCTGAGCTGCTTGCTCCCTCTGTCCATCGTCCTGCATCGCCTTGGTGATGCGGTTCTTGACTTCGCTGAACAGTGCGTGAGCAAGGGCCTGTCTCAACGCCATCGTGGCCTGACCTTTGTCTCTGAGCTCCTTCCAGGCCTTGGCAACCTTCCAGAGGCGGTTGGGCATGCCGTCTGGCTGATTGGTGCAGAAGATGATGTATCGTGTATCGAGAGACTGTAGGTTCAGGGAGTCTTCGTGACGGAGAAGTAGACGGCAAACGCTCTGTAGCAAGGAATGCATGCGGCGGAGCTCGGCCTGGAGGTTGTTGGAGTGGGTGGAGCGAGCAGGCTGATTCCTGTTTGGATTGAGGCCCGAACCATTCTCTGAGCGACGCTTGTGGTCCCCCTTGGTATCGCCCTTCCCTTTCCCATTTGGTCCAGCTTTCCCCTGGTTGGCTCCTCTTGGCGCCTTCGCCGGTCTCTCCTCCAGGGGGTGCGAACTCCTCATTGGCTCTTGCTCGATCTCCATGGCTTTGTTCTCTTGTTCTTGTTCTGTGCCTGGAGCTGACATAATCCCACAATATACCTTCATTTCGTATCTGCTTCGGTTCCGCGGCTGGGAGACTCTGGCTGAGGAAGGATGGAGGCTCGGCGAATGTCATCGAGGGAAGGTTCTCCTGCAAGCGGTCGAGTGGGATGCAAGATGCTCTCCAGAAGCATACATACACAGGGCACAAGACAGCTTCTCATGTGAGCGTCCCGCCTTTTGTAGGATTTGCCACACCACACGCAGGGGGACGGCGTGGAGAACTTGCGAACCCTAGCTTCGCAGGCATGTAAAATGGAACTGTATTGAGCATGTTTGGCAAGTATATGGGATTTGATGTATGAGGAGTTGGCAACATACTTGTCACAAAGAGGGCAGTGGTGCTCAAGTTTCTCACGAACGAGCTCATTGCCAATAAGTCGGTGCCAGGGATTTGCGAATAAGATCTGTACAATCTCCGGTGCCTCGATGAGAGGCAGCTGGCGGGACACGGACGGCCTAATACGAAGATGCTGTTCGCCATGTCTATCTTTGTGCTCTCTAAGACCATCACATTGCGCAAAGGCCACGTGAAGATTGAACTCTGGCCATCCCCAAAAGGCATGCTTGCAGAAGACACATTTTGGTAGGCCTTCATCGGCGAATAATGTGTAATCAGCAACAATGTGAGCTTGCCAATCAGGCCGTGTACTAATTTTGTGTGCTTTAGCAATGTGTTTGTTAAGCGAGGCCTGGTCGCTGTAGTAGACACCACATTCAGGACACGGGAAGCCACTGATCTGTAGATTGTCAATAGATAGGAGTCTGGCTTTTGAGGGAGTAATCTTGGTTTGCAAGCATGATGTGATGTGGGATTGGGTGGTCTTCAGCCATTCGAGCACTCGGGCAGGCTGCATAGAGGCCTGGGCCTCAACCGTGGAAATCTCCCTGGCAATATCTTCTGCGAAGCAGTTGGCTGGCGTGGGAATGC